ACAGTGTATTTGAATAAAAGTAAAACTACCACTACGCAGGTAGTGCACCTACACTTATGTTGCAAATAGGCATGTCCATAGCACCCGTGTAACAGGAGCACAGGACGCAATTGCAGATAGCGAACGAAGCTTGGTAGTGTAGTGAGTGAAGGAAGGTAAATCCAAAAGTGAGATTGATTTAGTTATCTGTTCTTGCTTCCTACACGTGCATAACCTCCTACCTCTCCTGTAGGTCTCTCGGTAAAATCATACAAATCATACAGGTTTTGTAATTGCAATGAATTGCAACGGACACGGATGATTGCAACGGACACGCTTGGCGGGAACGGACACGGTATTCGACAATATGTACCGATCCCATGATCACCCGCTTCAACTTCTCGACCAATCACATCCACCCAACAACATTTCACCAGCCAATAGCATTGCTCAATTCTGACAACTTCAACTGTTGCCCCCACAGCCACGCGTACGGACGCGTTAGTCTTGTGCCTTTAAGTAGGGACCAAAGCGAGTTGACGACGAAGTGCAATCGCAACAGACGCTAGTATCTTTCTGTACAACTGGTATTGCCTCGCTAAAAAACAAGTGGTTGGATATTTTTTAATACAATTAAAATGAATTGGATCAGGCAAAGTCAAATCTTTAGAGTACTACTGACGTGGAGCTACTGCGCCTAGTCCGTAGGAGTCCATTGTAGACAGTATAGTGTTTTGCACATCATTGTACCTTTCCAGTGGACCTACACTAACCTACTGCTCGTAGAGTCTACTGACTGAAGATCAAGCCTTTACGGACTCAGAAGTACGGTTTGATGTTGACCGACACGAAGAGCAACGATTCAAAATTGAAATGAAGTATCGAAGTCGTGGGTCCACTCGAGAACTTTTTGAAATTGCAAATGTGCTTGAGTTTATTTTTGCTTCAGGCAACATTTTCCTTACAAACGCGTACTATTAATATAACATGTCCTGATACTAGTGCTCGTTTTTCTCAAGCTGATACTCAATATAAATAATCTGTTTCATATATATATAATATGCATTTGCAGGTGTTACAATATTGCTTTTGTGCTGGGTCATCCCAATTCTAACGTCACACACTTGGCCCATGTCGACAACGCTTCAAAGCGTTGCAACACCATCGGTGTTTCTACAACAGTCGAGAGTAGTCACCATTATTATCTCAACCACTACTTGCTTGATAGTAGATGTAGTTGAATGAACTGATAACTTCCCGGAGGATCTAACGCGAGCCCCGTAGGTGGACATGACGAAAGCATACTATATCTTATGTGCGTTGTTTCTCTCCTTCATTTTCGACTACGAGGACGCCAGCGCGTCACTCAAATCTTATTGTTTTACTTCTTATTACGACCTGTTCCTAAGTACGCTGTAATAGTCATGGTAAGAGGTGGAGAAAATTGTAATGCTTCGGGCTCCAAAAAAAAATCTTCACGCTATGGGTAGTTGTACTGAAGAGTCGATGTAGGCCCAGGACCGAACACACCCCGGTGTTCATTTCCAGCAACTTCAAAATAGCCCTATTGTAAAGACGATTCAATGTATTCAACCCTCGAAAAACATGCGAAATAAAACCAGAAAAAATTACTTGCGGTTGCATGTTGCACGAAGATGGGACCGTCGCCAACAGGGTCAACATTCACGTGGGTGATTCAAAAGCAATGCAGGTATAAGTTATTAGGGTATTTAATATTCCGTGTTATCAATGACTCGCAATTTTATTTCGGACAATCTCACCATACAATTGGTAGGTTTTCTCCAACCGAGACGTTGAAGAAGCAGTGGGCTAAACGTCTTTTCTGATCGAGAAGAATAACTGCTTGTCAGGTAGCATATAGTAGCTGGTAGGGGCAAGGCTGATAGCAGCTGAGCTCTGTTTTGGTTTTCCTTCGTTTCGACCACCATTCCTCAACCCGTTAATTTCCTGCGAATGAAAATCAAACTATCCCCACGAGCTCGCGATTACTAAAAATTGCAAGAGGTGTGTTTTTTAATGTCTACAAGGGATTCAATGTTACGAGTATGCTTTACGGTAGTGCAGCAAGCGCATTGATGTAAAGAGGGTACCACATAGACGCTCAAATATAAATTTCAGGGAATATCCAGTAATTATCCCAAATTTATATGAAACGTCACTACAAAGTTCCAACGAAACAGTACAGTGGTGGCCGAAGAGCTGTACGGTTAGTTTTTTCGGTTGCGAAGTACGAACATCCCATAAGAATTACTTACACGTACAGACAATCCCCTCGGTAGTAATCCCTAGGCTTGAAATACTCCCCCAACAGCAATAGAATTGCGGTTCCCTGGTGCTGGCATACTGGTAGTCGTTGATCCTTATGAGTGAGGCGGACTGAATAGGCAGGAAAGGGCATGTTGGTGTGTCAAAACTGGCAATAATAATGGAAGAGGAGCCCGCGGTGAGCCACAATCGTCCCCATGACTGGGTTTTGTGCACC